TGGGAGTCCCGGGGGCAGGGCTGTCTGTTCCACTGTAACGCAGTTTCTGGAGGAGCTTCGACTCCTCCCACGCTGGCCACCAGGGAGCCCCCAGAGCCTGCTGTACCCCCCTCTCCAGACCCACCTCCTGATGCTCTCCCTTGCATTGTGGGGCCAGATGTGTCAAATCACAGGGAGCGATTTGAAGCTTAGCAACCAACCACCAAGGCTAAAACCCAGCAGCCAGCTATGATCGCAGGGAGTTTTGTGGTGTTTGAATTTGAAACTAAGTCCTGTCATGGGGAAATTATGCTTCTGGATCCGGTCACCAGGGCTGGGTGGCCACTTCATCTCTCCAGCCCTGACACACAGAGTGCAGGGGACCAGCAGGCAGCATGAGGAAGTCAGGCTGGGATTTGCCAAGAGCTCAGTACCTTTGCCAGTTCCACGGGGATACAGGTCAGTAAAGATACGCAGGATACCAACTGGCGTGGCTTGGTGCATTGAGTGCTGTCCTGCAAACCAAGGTCGCTGGTTCGATTCCCGGTCAGGATACATGCCTGGGTTATGAGTTTGATTCCCAGTCACAGCACATACGAGAGGCAACTGATCGATGTTTTTCTCTCATATTGATGCTTCTCTACCTCTCCTTCTCCCTCTCTTCCCCACTGTAGAATCTATGGACTGGATACAAATTTTCGCAGATCTGGAGGGGATGGGCCCCTGTAAGCAGGTGGCTAGCAAAGGTGTGAAGCAGCTGGTCCTGCACCAACCATCAGAACCAAAGTGAAGCCACCTGTTGGAGCAGAAGCTCCCAAAGGCCAACAAGTCAACACTTGCTGTGGCTTTATGACCATACACCACGGATTGCCTGCTCTGACCTCGCCTTTTTGGAAACCTGCACTTGCATCTTTTATCAAGGATTTTTCCTCGAAGATCTAGATGACTGAATGTAAGGGAGAGGATAATTTTGGTCTAAATGCAAAGCACCAAGTCAATAGACCCTTTCATGACTGGCCTAGATCCTCTCAGGGCCCAGGCAGGAGGCGGGCTGCCTCTTCTCTTGCTGCCTCTTGGTGGGTCTGCCTCACTGCTTTACTGAAGTGGGGGCAACGCCCCCTCCCCCCTCCAGGTCCTCTCAGGCACTGCCAAAGGCATGGTCGTGGACAAGGGTTGCCATCGCTTTACAGAACTTGAGGCACTGTGGACTTCAAACCGACAGCCTTCAGAGCACGCACGTTTGCCAACTACTTGCTCTTGCTTCGGAGGAAATGCGGCAGGAAACACCTTTACAAATGGGTATTGTACCATAGCTTGCTTTCAGTGCTCTTTTCTGACACTTCCTCAAAGTAAAACCACAAACTATGCATGGTCTGGGGGTGAGGCAGGGCAGGAGGGGGAGGTAATGTGACCCTTGTTGACCAGCATACGGAAGCTAGGAGAGCTAAGAGCAAATCAGTGTTGCTTTGTTTTCCCAGTCCCGGGGGTGCAGAGGCCCCTCTGGGGCTGCCGGGCCAGTCTAGGTCCACTCCACTTTTTGTCAGTATGCCACCAGGGTCCTGGGAAGTCATGGTTTCTACAGCCAGCAAGTGGCAAGCTGCCTCAAACTGTTCTTTGAGCCTCGGTTGGCAGCCATGAGGTGAAATACAGAAGCTAATGACCACTCTGGTTGGTGTGACTCAGTGGACTGCGTGCTGGCCTGCGAACCAAAGGGTCGCTGGTTCAATTCCCAGTCAGGGACCATGCCTGGGTTGTGGGCCAGGTCCCCAGTAGGGGGCATGGGAGAGGCAACCACACATTGATGTTTCTCCCCCTCCACTCCCCTTTCTAAAATCAAATCTTAAAAATAAAAAATGCTAATGATCTCTCATGATGTAGTAGAAACACAACCCTGGGGGCCTGAACAGGATGAACAGCCCCATTCGTGGTCATCCCATCAGACTCACTGGTCTGAGCAGCTCAGCGAGTCGATAAAGTGCCCTTCAGGTCGTCTCAATTCTTGAAATCCTGTCCCCTCTTCCTCCCTGTCACAGGGGACACTCTAGCTGGGAGAACTCATCTTCCAAACACATACAGTCATTGAGAAAGCCAAGTACTGGGTAGTACACTTCCAGATGCCCACTAATGGTTAAGCCAAGCAAGTTCCAGGAATTTTGGGCACGGGCTGGGGTGTTGCAGACACCAAAAAGGCCCAGCCTTCCTCTGAACAGACCTTTTTATCCCGGGAGGGGTGGGGTGGGGCAGGGCAGTGGGGAGGCAAGCAGAAACAGAGGCCAGAAGGATGCTCAGAATAACCCACCTGCTTCAGAAGGGTACTGGCTGCCTGCTGTGAACAGCACCATCACGGGAGTACTGAGGGCTAGGCCTGGCCCTCAGTCTTGGAGACAGGCTGACACCTAACCTCACTTCTAAATTATCACAGGTAATTTAGACCAATGAGATAAAGGTAGCACCACAGTGTGCTGCTGAAAATGGCAGTCCCTGTGCTCTGAGCAGTTCAGCTTTAGGAAGGAAGGCAAAGGACAGCAGACACTCTCAGCCCGCCCTCAGCTGCTCGGACCAAGTGCCCCGTGGCCGCAAACACCCAGGGGCAGAGGTTGCTCCTTGCAACCACTAAAGGTCCCGGAGTTGGGATGGGATTACTTAGCATTTAGCCCAATTCCATTTAATACTATGTAGACATTTTCTTGGTTTCGCTGTTTTTCTAGTGGCTGTTTCCTTAGGACAACAGCCGTCTACAAGTGGAGCTTGGATAGGTCACGGAGCCTACATTCCTAGTCACTCCAGTCCCTCATAAATGTTCAACCTTGAACTATTATGGAATCAGGAGTTTTAGAAACACTAACCACGTTGCAATTATTTCTAAGGCCTTTCTGGTCCTTACTGATCTCACAAAGATCTTGGGGGGCAACTTTACCCCCCCCCCCCCCCACTCCCCCGCCAAAGAATAGTGCTTTTTATCCATTGTCTCACATATGAACTATTTGTCGTTACAGGTGCTGAAGGCTTCATCTTGCAACTGGGCTCTGGTTTAGTGAGCCAGGGTGACACTGCCACCCAACTTTGACCACAGCACTGAAACAACGGCTAACTTTGCCATGTGGGTGTGGATGCAATTTATGAGGTAACAATGCTATTCTAAGGGAAGCCTTTAATAAGAGATACCCGACTGTAGGAAGCAGACTAAAAAGTGTTAAAGCTTCAGAAGACAGTGAGTTAAAAGGAACTTGTACCACTTCTGGGAGTTTTCCAGAAGACAGATGCAGCAGCAGCACCACCTACCCAACATTCAACATTAAAAAACAGAAAAAAAAAATTTTTTTTTTCGTTTTCATTCTTAAAGAGAGGAAAAGGGAGGGAGAGAAACATTGGTTGCTTCTCACACACATCTGCAACCCAGGCATGTGCCCTGACCGGGAATCAAACCAGTGACCCTTTGCTTTGCAAGATGATGCCCAGCCAACTGAGCTACACTGGTGAGGGTGAAGTTTAACATTTCTTGAAGGAATTAAGATTTTTATTTAGGGAAGAGACATAATGGGACAAGAGTGTTCCTTAAACCATTATAAAGTCATGAGGAAGATAAGCACTGATTCTGTGCTGCTTATCCAGAGTACAGAAACTGGTCTACTTGGTAGATGTGAGAATGTTTTCTTAAAAAATGCTTTCTGCCCTGGCTGGTGTGGCTCAATGGATTGAGCACAGAGCTGTGAAGCAAAGGGTCACCAGCTCCATTCCTGGTCAGGGCACATGCCTGGGTTGCAGGCCAGGTCCCCAGTAGGGGACACATGAGAGGCAACCACACATTTATGTTTCTCTCCCACTCTTTCTCCTTCCGTTCCCCTCTAAAAATAGATAAATATTTTTAAAATGCTTTCTAACTGTGTGTGTGTATAATGTGTACACATAATAGACTTTTTAAAAGATCTTGGATCTAGAAAACCTTTGCAGAATCTCCAATGCTTTTAATTTTTAATTGTTGTTCAAGTAGTTTTGTCTTTTGCCCCCACCCCAGCCCTACCCACCTGCCTCCCATTTCCACCCCATTATTCTCCACGTGTCCTTTATACTTGTTCCTGCATACATAACAGACTTAAAAATGCTAACAATATATAAAAACAAAAAAATGTGCATGCACATACAGGCTTTAAAAATTTTTTAGGTTGTTTTATTTTGAGAGAGGGGAAGGAAGGGAGAAAGAAGGAGAGAAATACTGATGTGCAAGAGAAACATCAATCGGTTCCTCTCACTCACCCCCAACCGGGTACCTGGCCCACAACCCAGGCATGTGCCCTGACCAGGAGTCAGACTGGCGACCCTTTGGTTTGTGAGACAATTCCCAACCCACTGAGCCACACCAGTCAGTGCTCGGTAGACTTTTTATACTGGATAGGAAAGCAAATCTCTTTGGTATGTCGGTGATCCCATAGTATTACGATTAAAATAATACGTGGAGTCATGTATAGGGGCTGAACTCCCTTTAGAAGCCACCTCTGGAGAGATGGTTCTCTAGCAGCCGAGCTAAGAGGCGCGGGTGAGGGCAGCGTGCTGTCTGCGCCTTCTTAGAGCACTTTGAGGGCCTGGGAGATTCTACTGTCGCTAGAAACCGTCTCTTCCTAATTTCGGTTGGTAGATTAAGGACAAATTAGTTTCCCTGAGCATAGATCGTAGGGTACAGCAGAAGCAGGAGGCTCTGCTGAGAGAACAAAACATAACCCAAGCCAGTGGGATTTTCACCTGGGCGGAGCTAACATGTACACATGGTCTGGGAGGGGCTCCGACCCCAACATCCTATTTCAGGGGCAGGCAGTGGGTGTACACAGGTAAAAAGCGGGGGTCTCCGGCCTCCGCTCAAACTAGATGCACAGCAGTCTCAGAAACACCACAAACAATGGTGTACTTACGAGGACCGGAGCCTCTGAGCAGTGCCAGCCTAGCCTTCATTTTGCATTCCACCTACCGCCGACCCACCCACACGTTTCCCCAGACATAATCATGAAAACACTTTAGAAAGAAATAAATTAGTGTGTGAAAGGCATGGATGGATTTTATTTATTACCCTATATCTACATTTTAATTTGAGGTAAAATATAAGCAACACATAAAAATGCCTATTTCTGCTACCATGTAATATAATTCTCCATTATGAATATTGTGATAAAGCTAATGAACACGCTATGCCATCACATACTCTAGCTTTTCGTACAGCTGGTATTTTACAACTCTTATTGTCTGCAATCTCAACACGTGTAAGATTCTCCTACAAACGGCGCAGAATATCAGCGGGTGCATAATTAGCTTATGACCCCTCACTCCTCACACTGGAGCCTCAGTGTCACAAGTAGAATTATAAAATAACGAAGGCAATGAAAACCCCTTGAGATTGATCCAAACGGAACAGTGTTCCAAAAAACCCCCACACAACAACAGGTTCCACGATAGTGAGGCTTTAGTGTCGCTTAGCTTGCCCAAACTCTCATACCTGGTCTTCAACTTCTGGTGCACCATGCTTTTTATTTGGATGAAACGTAAATGTGGAGAGGTCCTTTGTATTCCCCCTCTAAGCCACACGCTGAGATACTACTGACCTCTTACTACCTATTAGGTAATCCTGGTGGTGTTTTTTTTTTTTTAATTATGATAAAAAATACATGAACCATGATAGATAGCTTAGGAAAAGATTTAGTCAAATATACAGACACTAACTGTTCACTCAGTCATTAAGGAGAGTTGTGAACAAAAGGATGATTTAAATGATTTTTCAAATATAAAAACTAAAGAACTAAACTATCTCAAGTGTTTTCTTCACTGCAGAAGCTGAGATGTCCCAGCAGGAGATGTGTCTTCACTTGATTGGGAAACAGACACCGTGGCTGAAGGCTCTGCTGAATCCGTAAAAAAACCTGGTGAGATTCATCCCTGTCGTTTTCCCTGTCGTTTTTCCAGCATTGCTGTAAAATCCTTATAATACATTCCAAAGTAAACCAGCCATTCCAAATCTACAGTCACTCTGCTCTTTAATTCAATTCACAGAACTGCTGAAAAAGTAGACATTTCTATCTAAAAGTAGAAAAAAAGGTTTGTATAGAAGGTATTTCTGTTATACAAGTATATTACACAGCTTGGGGCAGTAACAGGTCCAAAAAGCTCTTCTCACCCACTGATACTTTAAGCTGAAGGGAGAGAAAACAAACAAGAAAAGAGGTTACTCTAATTATACGAATTTAACATTCACAAACACCACAATGTAGCACTTAAACCCACGTATGCAGAGTACAAGGCAAACTCCATGACAAAGGGTCCCGGATTGAAAAGAAAGCGCCATGAGACGCAGATCCAGGACGGTCAGGTTGTAACCCGTGAACTACCTACCTACCACCTGGTCCTAAACACCCAACAGTGCATCCCTGTTGAGTTTCAGCAGGCATGAGAACCAAGTTTTGCTGATTCCTGGTCTCGGGCTGCCCGTCCTGGTACTAACCTGGCCAAGTTTAAGGAGTCAGAATAACAGGATCAGGCTCATAATTTAGGATTAGTGGACATGTCAGTGTAGTGATACTGACTCAGTGAATTCTGATGTGAGGACAATATTTACCCTGTCGATTAAAATCTTTTCCTTTTAAGGCAAAAGTGCACTTTTATCTTTGAGTAACACACATATTGATCCAAGGAAAAAATCTCTGCCTGAATTTTGTAGCTAAAAATAATCCCATATGGCTTACACTTGGACCACACAAGCCCTGAAGGCGGGGCCCCATTAGAGCTGAAGCAGGGAAAATGCATGTAGATAGCAGGTGGGTTTGGACGGACACGACACAGCGTCCCGGACACAGAAGCTGAGTTATTACCCTAGGAGGGAAGAGGTCTACCACGTAGGGTCTGGCTCTTGCTTAATCTGAGAGCTTCCATCAGTCTCCTTTATTTCTATCAAGAAAAACAAAAGAGAACTCTTTAATTGCACTATGAATGCAAATCTGCTCAATTACAAACCCATACCAATTTACTAACATGATTTAACAGGAATCACAAGATACTAAAAAACGGTAACATTTTCAGAGACAACAATGTTTCTTTAGCTCTAAGTCCTAAATTTTGCTACTCATGTTTTCAAAGTAACACACATCTTAATTCCATATGTATGTAAAGGATCCTCACTGTCTGTGCCATATAGCAGTCATTCCATGGTTTCAGACTCACTTGAGGGAAATGGAACCAAAGAACCCATGAGTCATTCTGAACACAATGTTTCTGGTCATAAAACAACAGATCCCATTCATCCTGAAATGAAACAAAACCACCACACTTCTACTTTTAAGAGCTGTAAAAACAATTAATCCTTTGTCCTAATGAAAGTCTTAAGCAACTTTTTGACAACCAGACCACCCTTTTTACCTTCTGTTGCAGGAACCTCCAACTGGCTCGGCTCAGCTGATTCTGAAAGGAAACACGTTAAGATTCACTGTGACACTGCTCAAAAGGTGCTTTCAATTATTTAAAGAGAACAGCTCTTCAAACGAGAGAAAGTTCTTCACACCATGTACCTAAGTCACAAGTCTAACATGAAAACAACAGCCACAGACTCCCGGAATAAGCACAATTACTCAACTAGACTTTCAAAACTCTACTCCTCTTCTGAAATGTGGTAAGTAAGCTTACCTAACCAAAGTCTTAAATAACAATCCTAATCAACTCGACTCTAACATGAGAGCAAGAAGTTCCTTTTTTATCATCCCCCTTTCTTCTGTGAGTTCCTTTTTAATAAAAGCCTTTCCTTACTTTCAATGAATCACAGTAACAGGCCTAAACTATCTGTTTCTAAGGAATTTAAAATCTACAATACATCCATTTCTACCCAACACAATTTGGCTTTCAACTACCAGTATAAACAAATGGCATGACGAATAAAGTTTAAAAAGATGACCTTCTCACTGAAAAACTGCATTCTACACCAATGATCTCATGGTGCCTGACCCCGTACAAGCGCTGGGACAGTGGGATCAAATGGTACGCGGCCCATGGTTCTCAATTAGGACCTACAAGCTGAGCTTCTCCCGGCTTTCAACCACAGGAGTCACAGACGCCAAGTCCAAGTGCGCACACGCGTGCACTGCGGACTGACCAACTCTGCAAAGTTGGACAAACAAAAGTATGTGGAGCCACACAATTTTTATCTGACCTATTTTACTGAGAAAAGCAGGAACAGTCCTGTTTTATCCTCCTTAATTTACCTTGTATCACTGGGCCTTCTGACTCACTCTGATCAACCAACTCTGAAAATAAAGCAAATTCATTTCATAATGTAATGGCATACTGTTATATTCGAAAAGTATTTTTACAAACATTCTTTATTTTGATGCTCCAGTTTTGCCATAACAGATATTATTTTCCTTATGACAAGAAGGGAACAAACATTAAGAGTTCTGGTATTTCCCACCAAAGAACAAATTCATAGTAATTACCACAAAATTCTACTATAGACCTGAGTAATGATGAGAACAAAATTGAACATTTTAAACATGAAGAGGATAAAAAATATTACAATACAATGTTCTTTGAAACTAAAAATTAGAAGAAAATTAGGACTAATAAAAAAAACAGAAAAATAATTATAATGGGATTTCTTTAAATAACGAAGTCCCTGGCATGATTAAAGCTAAGTGTCACAGAGATGACTTAAAAATCTATGAAGCAAGGTATACCTCTCTTTCATATGGAGAGTACCAAATACTAACATAGTGGTATTGGCCACGATAGAGCACATACCAAAACCAAAATATGTTAAAAAAGAACTCATGGATTCGGGGTATAAGCAAATGAGTAAGTTTTATGATAAATCAAATTCAAAACCTGGAGGCAAAAGAGAGGTAACCAAATCCATGGTCCTGAAGCACCAAGGCCAGAGGCCAGGGTCAACAGTGTGAAGCAGACGGAATGGCAGGGGACAGGTGCAATGACAGCACACCTCTCAGGTCAGGGGGACAAACCAACAACTGAGAGACAGGCAAAGTTCTGTCTCTCCAGGGCCACTGATGAGTCCTGAACACGACACTGAAGGGGCTTCCATTACACTTTCCCAGTGAATAAACTACAGAACTGAATGTAGACAAATTTTATTTATATATTCACGTATTTCTTCACTCCTCACCCAAGGACATGCTTACTGATTTCAGAGAGAGGGAAAGGAAGGCAGCGGGGGAGACAGGGAGAGAGACATGAATGTAAAAGAGACAGAATCGCTGCCCCCGCACAAGCTCTGAGCAGGGAAGGAGCCTGAGTGCCTTCCGCTCACTGGATGACCCCCAACCAACTGAATCACACTAGCCAGGGCAAATGCAGATGGATTGTAAAGAATTAGAATAATTATACTAAGTTGAAAAAGACTGGAATGCCAATGGTAGAAAAGGATCATTCTCAATTACAAAATTTTTAATAAGTTAACAGAAAATAAAACATGTGAGCACAATTGTTTTTGCTATAAACACACTACTTAAAATGACAAACAGAAATGAAAGAGCACTTAATGTGTTAATGCAAATGTCTATCAAAAACTGTGCTTAATATTAATAGAAGCTAAATCACATTAAAAAGACCTATTTATTCCACCTCTAAGAGGAACCTAATCTACAAAACAAACAAACAAGCAAAATATAACCAAAGACACTGAAATAGAGAACAGACTGACAGTGACCAAAGGAAAGAGGGGAGGGAATTTCAAGGGGAAAGGGGAAGGATTTGCAGGAACAAGTATAAAGGACTCATGGACAATAACAAGGGTGGGGGGGTGGGTTGGGATGGGGGTAAAGGGCAGAAAATTATACTTGAATAACAATTAAAATAAAAATAATAAAAATCTATTACAGCATAATAATCATGTAACAATAATAAATGTAATTAATAGTACTGATAACAATAACAGATAGATCACACTTCCTGAGGACATACTATAAGGCTAAGCATTGTTCTGAGTCAGGGGTCAACAAACTTTTTCATAAAGAGCCAGTTAGTAAATATTTTAGGCTTTGCAGGTCACGTAGTCTCCATTGCAACTTCTGTGAACCCTGCTGTAAGCAAACTGGTATGGCAGTGTTTTAATAAAACTTTATTTACCAACACTGGCAGGCGATTGCTGACCCATTTTTGATGCTTGACATATAATGAGTCATTTAAAATGTCCTAAAACTCCCCAAATGGGTACTAATATTATTACCATTTTATAAATGAGTAAAATGAGATTTTAAAAAGTTAAGCAACTCCCCCAAGCTTACATGTGCTCTATGTATGACTAGTGCTTTAACACTAAAGGCTGAATTAACAACGACTCTGCATGGTTACTGCTGTAAGTACAGTAAAATCTTGTGAGCTAAGTCCATGGGCACACAGCCACACCTGTTCATATTCCAAAAATGAGAAAGACTTCATAAAATACTCACGGTTATTAATCACAAGTCCTGGAAATGGTCTAAAAAAGAAATAAATTGTGCAATGTTTTAATCTACAGGAATTTACAGACATATTCAATTTATACAACTAATTTAAAAAATATTTAATGTATTTATTTTTAGAAAGAAGGGAAGGGAGAAAGACAGGGAGAGAAACATCCCCCCACTGGGGCCCTGGCCCACAACTCCGGCGTGTACCCCGACGAAATCAAACTGGCAACCCTTTGGTTCACGGGCCCATGCTCAACCAATGAGCTACACCAGCCAGGGCTATACAACTAATTTTTAAATCATGACACATATGTGCTAGAATGAGAAATGTTGTCCACTACTTTTTAATCTTCCATCCTTTTTTGAAAACTCTCCACCTGAGGACAAGTTTATTGATTTTAGAGAGAGGTCAAGGGAGGGAGAGGCAGGAGAGAAATACCAATGTGAGAGAGAAACATCAATCAGTTGCCTCTGGTATGTGCACGGACCAGGGAACGAACCCACAACCTTTTGGTTTATGGGACTTTGCTTCAACCAAGCCACATTGGCCAGGGCTTAATCTCACATACTTTTTAATTGAGCAATTAATACATATATATATGGAAGAGCCCTAATATGAAAACGTTACACTAAAGATGGTGGGAAAACAAACAAAATAAAAGGAACAAAGAAAAGGGAATAGACTAATTCTAGTGAAATGGTCTAATGGAAGGAGGTGGTTTCCTAGACCCCTGGGGCATGGAACAGAAAATAAACATTGGTTATGTGGGACAAAAATATGGGAATTTTAGAGAAAGAGTTTTGGGAGAAGATGAATGGATGAGAAAAGCCTTGGGAGGGTAGTACATTTAGCTATTTGAGTGCTAGTCCTAAACCATTTAAACTAAGACCGTGGGAACTTGACAATGAACTACTGAGGTAGACTTAGTGATGGCCAGGTTTTTGTGAGTCGCAAGAGAAGAGTGAAGACACCTTGGGACTTCTGAGTAGGTGGACAGAAAAGAGGTGGTGGATTTGCTGTACATGGATTGTGATAAGCACATATTAATAATGTGATTCTTGTCATGCTGTTGGAGGTGTACTTACCATTCCTACTCTGTGGATAAGGAGCTGATACTCTCAAAGGAAACAAGTACAATCTCTAACTGTACAGTGCAGAAAACAGAAGGGATTTGGATGACTTGGGACCGAATCCCTGAAACGCCTAAGATAAAATCTGACAACAGTTTTCTGTAAAGGCTGAACAGTAAATATTTTAGGGCTTACAGACCACAGTGTCTCTGTCCCAAAGACTCAATTTTACCACTATAACATGAAAGCAGTCGTAGACAACATGTAAACAAACACATGTGACTATGTCTGAATAAGACATTATAGAGACAGGAGGCAGGCTGGATCTGATCCACAGGCCATGGTTTGCTGCCTTCCTGCCTTAAAACCCACAAAATTAAGAGAGTCAGCTCAGGGAAGGGAAAATCTAATACTATAATAATTACAGTACTTTATTCGTTTATTACATGGTAAACTTGACTCTATTACTACATATGACTACATGTTGTAAGATGACAGTCTCACAACCTGCATTCATTGTTGCAGGCAAGCAGGGGACTCTCTCACTTACCTAATGACTGTGAACTTAATGAACTCAGCTGAATCTAGAATCCTTCTCATGGAGCTGATTTCCAGGTAGCTGGGGGCTTTGAACGATACTCCAGGAGGCATGCCATCCACTACCACACAGCCAGGGTTAATCGTGATTTTCCTGTACGGAACTTTCACAGGGAAACCCATACCAATAGCTTCACCTATAATGAGACAAAGAGCATAAAAGCATCGGTTAATATTTACGAAACACATGACTGACACTGACTTTGAAGACGACCTCTACTATTAACTAAGGTCTTTGAACACTTCAGACAACCTTACGCATAAACCTAAATTTTATTCACCGTGATACTAACCATTATTAGTAGTACTGATACAAAACAATTAATGCATTCTTACTAAACAATGCATTCTCACTAAAAGAACTTCGGCAAAACCAAAATAATTATTTTATAACTTCTTTTCATTTTAAATAATATTACAAATAAACTATCTGAACATAATCTACTGTTAAGATCTTATTGAAACAACCCTGTTTGCTGTGACTCAGTGGACTGAGCACCAGCCTAGGAACCAAAAGGTCGCCAGGGCACCTGCCTGAGTTGCCAGCCAAGGTCACCAGTTGGGGGCGGGTGAAAGACAACCACACACTGATGTTTCCCTCTCTCTCTCCCGCCTTTCTCTTCTGTCTAAAAATAAAATCTTTTAAAAAATTTTATTGAAACAAAATTTCCTCGATTATTGCAAGCTGTACTATGCAAATGAAAAACTTACCAAATTTACGACTGAAGAGGTCATTAACTTGTTCTCTTAGCTGTCTAGCTTTTTCAACTTTTGACAGTCTTTCATTATCATCATCTAAAAAAAAGTTAAGAGAAAACTCATAATAATTAAGCAATGCTACTTTAATTCTAAGTAAATTTTATGTTCCCTGTGTAACTCACTTTATGTTTTTGGAATATTTAAGTATTTTAAACTAATAAAGATTGTAATGATTTAACAATAACACCAAATTGAAAATGCTGCAATTTTATTCCTGTTATAAAGAACTTTATCTGCTGTTTTATAGACTTTTTTTAAAACAAGACACTAGGTATCTGGGTGGTCAGCAGGTTTTAGTTCATGCCAAGTCCAGTGAATTGCCTAGAGCAAATTAGCAATAAACTGACAAGGGGATGCATTTGGTTAATCTCTGAAGGGTGGAAGGGGAGTGCAACAATGTAACGTGTACTCAGCATCTCTGAAGTGTAAGGCAAACCTCAGTAATCCATACGCTGAAAGTGAAAAAGCAGAAAAGGAAAACACCCCACAAATTATGATAAAGGCAGAGAATTCATACCTGGAATTGTCACCTGAATGATGTTAAGATCTTCAACACCTGATGCAGTAGTATTAACATTGGGCGATGAATTTATTTTTCCTTAGAATAAGACACATAAAATTACAACACATACAACATATTATTTACATAAATATTTCTTTAAAAAAGAATTAAATATTCTCAATAATATGTTTACAATTCAGACTACACAAAATGGTATTTTAACCCAAACTTTTGTTCAAGGTTTGATAGTTTTCACAGAATATTTTGTCATTTAGCGATATTAAGCTTCCCAAAAAGCATTTTACTTTTCTCTCTTCCATGTGATGCCTAGTATAGCAGACACATAGAGATTCTCAATTACCGAAGAACTAAAACCCATAAACTAATCACAACTCCAATTCTGAATGAGCTTTCCTAATTTTAGCTCAATTATGGTCTTTAAACAATTTTTAACCACTGCTGCAGAATAAATTTCTAATAGCATGTTTCCTGCAGCAAGAGCTTACTTGGAGGGCTCTTAGAGGAGGAGGTGCTCTCCTTAATTGCCGTTTCAAACATTTCAGGCCTAAAAACAAGAGAGAAAAAAAACATGTATGCTAATATTCCAATGGTAAAACATTAAAAATTAAACAACTAAAAGATTTTAAAAGCAGTAGTTCTCTGTAAATATGCTCTAGGTTCTTAGTAATGTAAGAACAGAAAAGCAAGGTTATCTCAAGGAACACAGACAAAAGGACTAATATAACTGTGATTATAACATCCACTCAGTCCTATCTGATTTGAACAGCTGCTTCTTCCCATGATTTTAAGATCTGCTGGAAAGATTCAGTGTTAAGCTGAGAATGGAAACAGGAAACACCCTGTATGCAGGTAGCATGGAAACACAGACAGGTGGAGAAAACTTCAGCAAAAGTTTTTCTTCTGAAGAAGCAGAAGCAGAGGCCATACCTCTACAGACCTGGATGCCAGTACAGAAAGTGGCCATTATGCTTGCAATGTCTGTCAGCTTTGATTATCTGACAGCATCTCTGGGTGACTCAAAAGTCAGCATTAATGAACAAAACCTAAAATTCATTTCAATTAATTTCAAATAATTCCTGGGTATCAATGTATTTCCTAATTCCAACTATTTCCATCCATCTGTTTCAATTGTAGTTTTAATTGTTTCAATTCATAGATCTCCAAGTAAATAGGAGAGAAATTCAAAGTATTGTGTAAGTTGGAGAAATAAAAGGGTTTCATAAAACTGGAACCACTCATTAAATTCCAGTAGCATCAAACCATTAAAACATACAACTGTGGGTAGATTTAACAAAATGAAGTTGTTATCCTTTCGGTAAGCTAGAGCCCTTCCTTCCCTCTTCTAACCATTTACGAAATATTTATAACACAGACGAGTACAGCTTAAAGAGCTTTCTGACGCCAGGGCTGACATGGCCCTACCACGCAGGTGGATCCGTGTGCCCGTCACCCAGTGTGAAACACTGTCAATCTCATGTCAGCTTATTTCCTTACTTTTTAATAATGAACTTAATTTTCGCTTTGTTTCTGAGTATCTTCTCCAGCCTTGGAATGCCAAAAGTAGATGGTCTGCGAAACGGCACACCCTCAGGTAAGCCTTCCACATAAAAGTCTTCAGGGAAAGACTCGAATAATGCAAATGGCACTTTCACGGCTTGTTTAAGGCCCAGGGCTTCACCTACAAAACACACACATACACTTCTCACATTTATAACTTAAAAAAAAGAGAAAGCTCTTTAAAAAGTGCATTTTAAATTACATTTTACGGCAGGCAAAATTACATTTTTTTAAAACTGTATTAATTTTTATTTGTAAATAAATTCTTGATGCTCAGAAAAGTGGGAGAAATTATGAAATACACCCACGCTTCCAGTAACAGCATAACTTAAATGTTGTATATTTTATTTAGCTCACATTCTTCTATTTTTAAAAACTGCCTTATATTTTAATAATAGTGTTTGAAAGTAAACTTACCACATTTTTCATTGAAAAGATTTTCAACTTTTTGTTTTAGGTCTGTGATTTTGGCATTCCAGGCCTCTGTATGCAAAAAACCAAGACAGTTAATCTGTTAGTAATATTGACCAATATACTTTCCATGGCCAGGGGTTTATTTTAAATACAAAATAAGAAAATACATAGACTTTTAAAATAGTCATGACTTGACAACTACTCTAATATAGTGACACATTATTTAACCGTTTGCCTATATGACTAATATGCTGGCTACTAATAAATGACATATACTAAAGCAAATAATAAAAAACAAATAAAGCATCCAAGCCGCCCAAAAGACAACTGTAGTATCTACTAAGTGCCATGTATAGTTCTACTCTGTACATGAGTTAGTATTTACAATCCTCGTAATAACCCTATGAAGCAGAAAGTAATGTTATCTCCATTTATAAATAAGGAAACTGACGCACAGAAAAGTTAAACAGCTTGCTCGGGGTCATGGAATAATTATATGGTACTGGCACCAGCTTTGAACTCCAGCAGCCTGACTCTATGAGTAAGGGCTAATATATACTGCTTACAAAATACAAAATAATTAGTAAAATATTTTTATGAATTCCTTCTTTATTTCAAATGACAAAATCAAAACAATAAAATGCATATTTACCAAAGGAAAACTCTCTCCCTCGGGGCTTAAAGGGAACATTAGAACCATTAGTCTGAGTAGGGGTTCGAACAGCTGAGGTCTGAGGGTTGTTGTTATTAGGACCTAAAGAAGAATTCAAAACAAAACAAAACATAGTCAACAAACATTTCATCTTGCCTACTGAAGCCTAGCCAGTGCTGGGAAACAAAGTTGGATTCAAACAGTACATAAGCACCCTGCAATGAAAATGGGTTCTGCTGCTAGTTCCACAGACTCACACCCATTTGCCTACTTCTGTCCCTATAATGAGGCCTTCTTTCCCAAATCAGAATTAGCTTTCTGATTCACCTAAGGTTCTTTTAATTCACTTAACGCTTCATCATGCCCCTTGGAGCCATGTAATTTTTGGTTGCCTATGTTTGCTTATGTTTTCCTTTCAACTCTTGAACACAAGGACAACTTTAGGTACAATTACATTATCTCCAGTGTGAACCTTTCCTTTGAATTTGCCAACTGCCCCTGGCATATCCTTTCTTTAAATTCTTAGTACAACTTAGAAACGATCAGTCATTTTCCATTAAATGAAAATGAATGCTAGTTTCAGTGATCCTTATAAACCCTAGGCCCTAACTCTTCTTTATGTGGGGTCATCTAATGCTTGAACGATAAGCTTATCTTAATCTGAAGCTAACAATTAAAAAAAATGCACAGACTTCTGGTCAAAATGGGGGACATAGGTAGACATTGCTCCCCTCTTCACACAGTCACATCAAAATTACAACTAAAACATAGAACCACCATCACTCAAAACCATCAGAATATCTTAGGAGTGAAGAGTTCCAGCCCCACATCTGGCCCCCCAGCACAGGATTCCACTGCCAAGAAGATAAGTTCCCACAACTTCTGGCTGCAAAATCCAGCAGGGATTGAGTTGGTGGAAGAAACTGCTAGAGCTCCAAGCAGTTCTGCTTGAAGAACTCATACACAGACTCACTGATTTAAGACTCACTCCATCTGAACTGCAGCACAGGGGCAGCAGACTGAAAGGCACCAGTGGCATTAAAGGAGAAATTGAGCCCTGGCTGGTGCTCAGTGGATTGAGTGCAGGCCTGCAAACCAGACGATCATGGTTTAATTTCCAGTCAGGGCACATGCCTGGGTGGCAGGCCAGTTCCCAGCAGGAGACACACAAGAGGCAAGGAGATATTGAGGTGTCTGGCAACAAGGTTAGTAGAGGCCATTGTCCCTTTTCTAAAGCCTCCCCCCACCCCAGAGCTGGCAAGTGGGTGCCATACCTAAGACTCCACCAACCTAACACTGTCCTTAGAGGTCCCCAGAGACTGCCCCACACAACTTATGGGCCAACTGAACTGCTTTTCCATTTGAATGGCTGGTCTTTGCTCATGTTTTACAACTCCTACATCCTATCAAACAAGCAATAGTGGGCCTCGGTGAGGCCCAAGCATGGAACTGATTCACAGCTTGGCTTGCCTGGGAATCTCCAAGCCTTGCACAAATAGCAGCCATCTCAGAATGCTTTATAGCTCAGGTAGGGTGGCCCCGGGCCAAACACAGGTGGGGGTTGACCTTGGCCTGCTCCGCCCGGGGAAACCCCAGGGCCAGTGCATCCAGTGGACAGGTACATTCCATGTTTGAGCACCACCACCCTGCCCCTGCACAGCTGATCCTCCATGGAGGGTAAAGGTTGGTTAGTGGTCACAGCTAACCCTTGCAGCTAACTGGCCTGGGTAAATCCCTCCCATTAATCTGACAACAGCAACCAAGGCCCAACTACAAGAGGAGGGTGTACTCAGCCCACATGAAGGGTGCATCTCAAGTATCCAGCTTGGGTATAAGAGGAATCTGTGTCACTCATCCCTACAGGGCATCTACTACATTAGGCCACACTACCAAGACAGGGAGTGATAGTAGCTCATCTACCTAATATACAGAAACAAAAATAATGAGGCTCCCAAAACGAGGAGGCAAAGAAACATGACCCAAATGAAAGAACAGATCAAAATTCCAGAAAAAAGGACTAAATGAAATGGAGATAAGCAATCTATCAGGTGCAGAGTTCAAAACAATGGTTATAAGAACGCTCGAGGAACTAAGTGAGGACCTCAACAGCACAAAAAAGATCCAGTCAAAAATGAAGGATACACTAATTGAAATAAAGAACAATTTACAAGCAAACAGAAGTAGAGTAGATGAAACTAAGACTCAAATCAATGATCTGGAACATAAGGAAACAAGCAAAAACCAATCAGAAAAAGAAGAAGAAGAAAAAGGAATCCAAAAAGCAGCTTCTGGGACAACTTCAAGAGGACCAATGTTTGCATCATAAGGCTGCCACAGAGAGAAGAGAAAAGAGCAAGAAACTGAAAATCTATTTGAAAAAATAGTGAAAGAAACTTCCCTAATTTGTTGAAGGAAATAAATATGCAAGTCCAGGAAGCACAGAGAGTCCCAAACTGGATGGATGCAAAGAGGCCCACTCTAAGACACATCATAATTAAAATGTCAAAGGTTAAAGGTAAAGAGAATCCTAAAAGCAGCAAGAGAAAGGCTGTTAGTTACCTACAAGGGGACTCCATAAGACTGTCAGCTGATTTCTCAAAAGAAACTTTGCAGGTTAGAAGGAATTGGCAAGAAACAGTCAAAGTGACAAAAAGCAGGGACCTACAACCTAGATTACTCTATCCAGCAAAGCTATCATTTAGAATGGAAGAGCAGATAAAGAGATTCCCATACAAGAAAAAACTAAAGGACTTCAGCATCACCAAAACATTATTATGTTAAAAGTTAAAGGGACTTACTTAAAAAAATCAAAACTATGAATAATAAAATGGCAAAAAGTACAAATCTATAAAAAGTTGATAAAAAAACAAACTAAGCAAACAAGAAGAACAGAGACAAAAATCATGGATATGGACAGCATTTTGATGGTTGCCAGATGGGAAGGAGCTGTAGGGGAATGGGTGAAGAGGTGAGGGGATTAAGAAGTACAAATAGGCAGTTACAGAATAGCCACAGGGATGTGAATTACAGCGTAGGAAATGGAGTAGCCAAAATACTTATACCCATGAACCATGGACATGAACAAGGGTGGGGGGTGCTTGGTGGACAGAGTAAAAGGGGGAAATCAGGACAACTGTAATACTGTAACCAATAATATATAATTAAAAAATAAACAAAAGAGCTCAAAGAAATTAAATTTCTTCGTATTTCTTTGGAAAATAACCAACATTCTTTCTAAAGATACATTCTGAAACTAATTTTTCCAATTTGCAGAAATGTGCGTATAGTCTCCAGGCTTTCATCTGAATTGTCATTCTATTGAGTTACCTACTTCCCATGGCTATCTTCACATAAAAACTTTTGCTTAAAGAAGAACCTCTGCAGCAATACTACTAACAGCTAAAAGTATATAACAGTCACTGTACAAACAATATCATATGTAAAAACTAATTTAGTTTTCATAGGCATCTCCACTTTACCTATGGAGAAATGGAGCCACGGTGGTCATGTGGTCAATTCCATTAGTGGTAAATGGTGGAGCTGGGATACCAACCTTCAGAGTCTAACTCCTCAGCCTTTACCACTACATACTATCTCCCTGAAACACTTACAATACTTTCATGAATCACTTTCTAGATCTAGGGAATGGATGGCGCACACAGCACACATACAGCCACCCCAATCTTCCCTATTTAACCTGGGTATCGACTCAGAACCCGTAAGAGTATCAGCAGTGTCTGACAGGAATGGATGAAATTGAAATTTGTCTGTTGTTCCCTATGAGATATAAAGATTCAACATTCTAGTCTTAAAGTATCTCAGAATTCCTGAACAAAAACCACAGCTTCCTTAGACAGGACAGTGAAGACGGCAAGGTGTTTCTGAACCACTTGGCTCTATCAACTTGGTTTACCAGGCAGATACAACAATACAGAAGAAATCAGTATATTCTATTAGTCAAAATTCTGTATCAGGCTACCAAGGTCATCTGACTAACATCTCTGCTTAAACTCCATGCTCTTGAAGCAACAACAGGGCAAGACTGAAGAAACGTATGATCGGCTAACAGAACTGAGTAAAATATCCAGTTCACATTCTAAGTATAATTTGGCCTTTGGTTTATACTTCTGTGAAATAACACTATGCATGCACTAGAATTAACTAAATTAAAGACACTGAAAATACCAAGTACTGCGAGGATGTGTAGCAAGCAACTGGAATATCTACACATTCCTGGCAGGAGTGTAAAATAATAAAACCACCCTGGTAAACTGCTGGGCAGTTTCTTAGAAAGATAAAAACCCAGCAATTCTCCTCTTAAATATCTATTCAAAAACCGGAAAAGCATGTATCATATGTGGTATGCAAATGTCCACAGCATCTTCATTAGAGGAAGACTAAAAATAAATCCAAATGTTCACTGACAGATGGATAAGCAAAATGTGGCGATCCCAAACATGGAGTAATAACTGACAAAAAATAGAAATACTGCAATAGGCAACAACAAGTACACATTTAATAACACTATGCTGAGCAAAGGAAGGCAATCATACAAAAAGATACAGCCAATAGTCCATTTATATAAAATTCTAGAACAGCAGAAGTATTCTGTGGTGATAATGTGGATCAATGGTTGTCTGTGGCCTGAACTGTAAGGGACTGACTGCTAAGGAACATGAGGGAGAAACGTTTTAGGGTTGACTTAAGTGATTATAACAAATACTTAAACTCAAATGGTATCATTAAAATGGGTACATTTTTGCCCTGGCCAGTGTGGCTCAGTGAACTGAGTGCTGACCTTCGAATCAAAGGGCCAATAAATTTTATTATACCTAACTAATTTGATTTTTTAAAAAGATTTTATTTATTTATCTTTAGAGGGGAAGGGAAGGAGAGAGGGAGAGAAATATCAATGTACAGTTGCCTCTTGTGTGTCCCCTGCTGGGAACTGGCCTGCAACCCAGACATGTGCCCTGACAGGGAATCGAACCACGATCCTTTAGTTCACAGGCCTGCCCTCAATCCACTGAGCTACACCAGCCAGAGTTAATTTGATTTTTAAAGTAATAAAAAATTCCACTTACAAGCATGACACATAATTT